AATTCACTTTTATTTATATACTTCAGACATAAATGCATCATTTTTTCCCAAACAAAAATCTACAACAGATATGAATATTTTTGAATGAGAAAGTAGAAAAAAAAAGCATTACAACTACACTATCTAAAATATATTTCATGAAATTAAAGGAATTTAAATTTTACTAAAATTTAAAAAAAGAAAAAGGAATATTTTCAAAAAACCATTAATTCCTAAGTATCCAATGAAAATTGCATTCATCGGAAATTTAAAGAAATATGCAAATAGGAAAGATGAAATTTGCGATATTTCTTTATAGAATAAGTATTGTCTGTAATTCTATATAGACAATAGCTTACACTGTTTTAAAATAAAAAGATTTTATTCATTAATACTGTCTCTTCCATAAACGTACACACACAGTTATTAGAGTGAACAGGAAAATTTCATCAGAAATTTTCTCACAGAGGAAGAGAAATAGTGATGGGTTCTACAGAAGGATGCTGAGAATACTGTAGACAGAGCATGTAAGCAACAAGGAAGTTATAAGGAAAATAGAAACCAAAAGGACAATACATAAAATCATTAGGAATTTGCAGTATAAAGACAAAAAATAATTTTACAAATTCATGATTGAGATTTTAATGTATGTTCTTTGTAACTTAATTTAAATCGAATCTTTCGTTTGACTTCTAAATTAAAATTATTAATAATAATAATCAGAAATAGAATGCTTACTGTATCTGTAGCGAGTGCAACTGAAAGGTTTTTTGCATAAATTCATCAACATTATTCATGTCTGACAGGATATTTCACACCTCTCATACTTTCTCTCAAAACCATTTCATTCAAGTAAAAAATAATTACATTCTCTCTCTTATATATATATATATATATATATATATATATATATATATATATCAAGAAAGACATTTGGGTCACTAACACGCAAAAAAGAGAATGCTTCATATCGAGAATATTTAACATTGAAAAACATAAAAAATTTTTTTTTTTTAAAATTACATATTTTTAATATGTGAAAATCTCCACCCTTTGCCTGATGATGGTTGCTAGACCGGAAACCCATGTAGCAAAATTATGGAAAATAAAGCGTAATATTTAAAAGAAAAAAAAAAAAAAATCCACGTCACAACTAAAAACGTTTGCGTTTCTTTTCTTTTTTATATATATTATATATATATATATATATATATATATATATATATATATATATATATATATATAAACACAGTATGTCCCCAAAAATGTGAGATCATTTAAAATGTGAATCTTAGTAATTACATGTCCCAAGCAAATGAAATTAAATAGGCTTCAAAATATTCAAAAGGGTGTAGATTTTATAACTGATTTCACTAAGCTTCACAAACGTTCAATATGCACACCACCTGTGGCACAACACATCAAGTCTATAGTCCAGCTTCTGCCAAACACACTGTAGCATGTCTAGCATAACATTCTCCAGTGCCTCAGTGATTCTCTGCTTAAGTTACTCTAGGCTTTAAGAAGAGGGGGGATATAGAAAAAAAAATCGCAGGTCAGGTGAATATGTTGGCCATTTCAACAGCACATTGTCATTATCAATGGCATGCCTGAATTCAGCTTCCTGGTAGATTTGCATCAAGCTAAGTCTGAACTGTCAGTTTAGTTTTTACATATTTTGTTAAAATTTGAGAATTGACTGTTATTAGACTACAAAATGATGTCAAATCTTTTTGGCAGGCCCTCTGTTTATTTATATATATATATATATATATATATATATATATATATATATATATATATATATATATATATACAGTCATGTTTATATTTCAAATTATGAGTTGGTTATATTATTTGTTTAATTTAATATCTTGGCAAATAATTCTCTCTCTGCATCTTTATGCCATGTTCCTTTAGGACATGGGTCCCCATGACTCTCCACAACTCCCTATCCTTTTCTAAGCTTTGTTTTGTTTTTTTTTTGTTTTTTTTAAACTCTCTCTCTTGTTATGGCGTCCATTTATACACGTTTGTTAGGCAGGTTACTTGTTGCTTTCCTCTGTCCCTCTTGCCTTAATATGTCCTGTGAATGTCAAATGTCATCTTTTCTCATAATTTGTCCCAGAAATTTCCGCTGTCTTTCTGATTTTATGTATTACTGTCCTTTTTGTTTTGTTTCCATTTTCCTTAAAACTTTCTTATTGCTTACATGCTCTAACCATGGTATTGTTGGCATCCTTCTGTCAAATCTGTCTCTGTTGCTTCAAGTTTTCTTTTTATCTGTGATGAAACTGTCCAACATTCACTGTCATATATTGTTATTGTAATTTACCCATGTACACAAAGACTCTCCCAGCTATAAATAGGAGCAGTTACTGCCTTTTAGAGAGGGAAGTTTCCAGCAGTCATCTCTGACAGTTGGACCAAACATTCTTGCTGTAACACTCTCGTTTGTATATGTTTGTATTACTGTTTCTGTTAATATATTTGTTTAACTCAATTCCTCTCTTTGTGTCTTTATTTCTGGCCCTAACACTGCCACAACATGTAGTATGATCAATATTATGTATCAGTTCTGTACTATTTTCTTTGTTTCTGATGAAAATTTCCTGTTCACTCTAATTGTGTATATGAAAGAGACAGACTATTAATGAATACAAAACAGCTTCTTTTAAAATGGTGCATGCCTAATCTAAATAGGCAATAGTTATTTTGTCTTGCCTATTTTTCATGAAATATATTTTATTTCAAATAGTGACACTTTAGTCTGTTTTTTAGGGGTGGGGGTTTATGCATTCCAATTCAAAAATATTAATTTCTGTTGTTGATTTTCAGTTGGTTAAAAAAATGCATTTATGTCTGTTTAGTATATTTGTAAATTTTTATTTTTGTTGGTAACTTCTTGCTGTAATAATACCAAAAATAACAAGTAAATCCTGCCCTGACTTGAACATCTAATTTGCAGGCCAGTATACAGGTGTCTTATCCACTATGCCAGCATTCTCCAACTTCTTGCGCAGCATGAAAACATTAACTTGCAAATACTAAATTATGCAGAGCAGACATGAGTGAAACAGATTTTTCGGCAGAAGGCCAGGTAGTGGTACTTTGCTTCTTGGCAGAACACGACACTGATCCTTTGTGGAAGTGTCAATGTAATCTGGTCTGATCAATACATTTATAATCCCATTATTCTTGATGAGTACGGTGTGTATTAGTATATTAAAAATTCTCATGCAAAAATAGTAAGGATTTGACAGAATCCTATTTTCTTTAGTGTAGCCAGCTCAGGCCTTTACAGCCAAGAACCCCCTTGCTAAGAACAGAGGGTTGAATTGCTCTCATTCCCCAGTTATTTCATAGTTAAAAAAAAAAAAAAAAAAATGTTCCCTTGAGAAAACTTCTTCCCCAAAATCACTACTTTGTTGAAAAAACTCTTGTGTAGATACTTTAGTGTCTTCATATCCAGGGTCATTTGTTATCTGTCTTCCATATCCTCATAATTTTCATTTCCTATCACACACCTCATTCAATCATCTTTTGAGTGGCTCTTCATTCTTTTATAAGGTTAACTTTGGTAAAAATTTAAAAGAAGTGTAAAATAGTTGTACTTAGAATCTACACATATAAATCTAGGTTTCCATTCTTAGCTCTTGTGCTTAATTTTTTATAATAAATAAATAGAAAAATGTTTTGATCAGTTTGCACCAGTAACCTTGAGAAAGGCAAGAATCCATCTTCTCCAGCTAAATAGCATGGCAGACTGGAATATTTTGTCATGGTAACCAATCTAGAGGAATAACTTTAAATTCAGAATTAGGGAGAAGGCAATGGAAAATTACTCTATTCCCCAAAACAATCATGGCACTGCATAGTTTAGAGATTAAAGAACAGGAAGTTGTGGAGTACAATGAATACCCGTGTCCTGAAGGTTCAAGCCGTTTCAAGAGCATTAAAAAAAAAAAAACAATGTAGTAGTTAATGTAATCTAATATTGACGCTCAAGAGGGCAATTATCATGTGTGCGCACACACACACATATGTATACAGAGGTAATAATCTGTTGTTAAATAATCCAAGTGAATCCTAATAATATAAGATATTAAAACTGATCCACAAAAAGAGCTCAATGTATTTATTATAGCAGATCATATAAATTACATAAAATAAAAATCCAAGAGTTACCTCATTTGAACAGCTATTTTGATCCACAAGACTTACTTCTAGGCCTTGTCAACCCTCTCTCTCTCTCTATATATATATATATATATATATATATATATATATAATATGACTAGCTTAAAACTCACCCTATTGGGCACCTTTTGTGGAGAACTCTTGATTGGGCCTTCATCACAATAGTTAGGGAGGAATAGATGTGATAAGCAACAATAAACTACAGAACTCAAAATTGATTGCTGTATTTAAGTATTGGATTAATATCTAAGTTTACCTTTTAAAAGTTTAAGGATCATTCTTCTGCTGCCACTTAATTTAAAGACAATTTCACATACATAGGTCCTTGTTTTCTATACAAACGATTATTTTTATTTCATGGGTGACTTTCACTAGATTGCGCAATTAATTTTGATTATTCACAAATTTATTTCCAAGTTATAAAAATTATCGTACAAAAGAATTTGTCACAAAGAATCACATAAAAATATCGCCGAAAACAATCACATTAATGAAAACTTGGGAATCCAACATTTCAGGATTGCAAATCCAGCCTGGAATTTTTTTTTAATTTGGTCACAGTGTCAGCCTGATTCCAAAATGGTATAGTATGTTAGACTATGGCCATTAAGAGTAAAGTTGGAGAAAGTGTGACACAGTGACACACTGACATTCGCATTTATTTATATAGAAGTATAATGGTTATTAAAAAAAAAAGAGAAAATTGATAGCAATTCTGTAGAATTTAACTATGAATTCTTTTTCTTTTTGTTATAGAAAATGCTGTTTGAAAGTTTTTTATTTATTTATTTTATTTATTTATTTTATTTTAATTTTATCAGGAACCTTTACCTGTTAATTCAATGAAGGAGACCCCTATTATTAATAATGACGAATCCCCCCAGAATGGAGTTCATACTCCAGGTAAGTGCTTTTTTTTTTGCTTTTCTTTTTTTTCTTTTTCTTTTTTTTCTTTTTTTTTTCTTTGATTGAGAGCAATCGTGAAATTTAAATATACTGTTATTTGGCAATTGGAGTCAGCTCAAATGGCAGGACAAATATTTTCCTTGGTGACTGAAATTGCCTAAAGAGTGTTTAAAGTTAAAAGAAGATTCTGAATTGAAAACCAGCTTAAAGATGGATGAGTTACATCAGGTTAGTTTGTCCCAGATGTGATCTCTGCTGTTCTGGCTGCAATACTTGTGCTTCAAATGTCAGTTGGATTTCAAATTCACTCCAGATGAAATGGAAAAATCGTATCTATGATCCATCGCATATTGATTTATCTCTAGGGGCTCAACTGATGCACAATTAACACCTTTCCCATTGCACTAAGGGTGTCACCGTGGCCAACACTTCATGTCAAAGGCATCTCTAGATAAGATGCTAGAAAAATGTTCACCTCATAATGTTGTGGCAGCAAGTATCTGACTACTCCTTCATGCTTTACCTTTAAAAGAATCTGATTAGACCAAGAATGGAGTATTGCTGCCATATCTGGTTTGGTGTTCCTGCTGTATATTTAGAGATTCTTGATAAAATCCAAAGAATCTGCAGCGTTGTTGGTCCTTACATCTCAGCTTCAGTCCCTTTCACAATGCTGTAACATAGCTTTCTTGTACCGTTTTTATGAATACTTTCATGATATTGTACTGATGAACTTTTCTGTTTTGTTTAGTTTCTTGTGTGTGTGTGTGTATATATATATATATATATATATATATATATATATATATATATATATATATATATATTGTATTCATTAGAGTTTAATGTTATTTTTATTCAAATACAAAATGCATACAAATTGTACATATAGGAACTAGTTAGGTCTACATAGAGACTTTGCAGTATTATGGTGATTGCAGTAAGAATGTTAAGTAAGAATCTGTTGTTTTGGAGTAAAGAATACTGTGGTATGTTTGGGTCAGTAATTATGGCTGGCTAAGTTTAAGATAAGACAGCTTGGAGATCAGTCTTCTCCTATCCCTACATTTGCAACATTTTTGTATTATTCAAAATAAATTTTACTTTCCGCTTTCATGAATTTAGATTTTTTTTGATGGCTTAAAACAGGTTGAAGGAATAGAAGATTCAAATTCAGATTTTTTTGTCCAAATTTTTACAGTTTGATCAATAATCTTTATTTTCACAATGTTTCAGGACAATAATTTAGTGCAGGCTTTCATGAAAATCAGCCTATGAAACTACCCTGTGTGGCGGTTTTCAAAATAGTAATTATTTTTGTGTTCACTAGAATAAAATCAGTGAGAGCTTGTATGCAACATTGTTTTGTGAAAGCATATCTTTATTCAGCCAGCACTTGTTTTCGATTTAGACATCACACCTTTTAGAAACGGGGTGAGGAGTAACTGAGTAATACTAAAGCAGTGAGATATCTCTTGGCATGGACAGCAGGGTGAGAACAATTTACTCCTGTTGATGAAATAAAGTGTTCATTACAAAATTTCTTGAAGGTTAGCCAGATCAAAAGATAACTGATTCTTTGCTACACGCCCCCGTGATCTCCTGATCACAGCACCAACATGCAGAGGTGGGTGTTTCCTTCTGGTACTCCTTTGCAGGAGACATACTTCATCCTTATTGTTGTCACTATGTGGAGGAGGTTCTTCATCCTCAGTGTTGTTGTTCTCCATCCTCGGTCCTAGATCCAAGCTGGCTATTGGCTAGTACCTGCCTTGTATTCTTTGTATGCAAACAGTCGGCACCACTTACTCCAAACCTTCTACTTAAGGTCTTATCTCAACAGCCCTTTCTAGAAGAGGACATAACTCCTGGTCCTTACAGCACCACATACAACCAACTTGGAGTCTTTCATTGGGCTGACCTGATTCTCTGTTACAGTAGGCTAAAGAAGAAAATGACAAAAACATTGAGACAATAACAATGAAGATTAGGATATCAGTTCAAATGTAAATAATCACAATAGGATACTTTTTATTTTTATCTTTTTATTTTATTTTTCCCCTAAGATGATGAATTTGTCTTTATGCTTAAAATATTACTTCCACCTCTATGGGACTGTGGACATTAATAGGTTACTAGAAAAACCTGTGAAAATTTTACGGTTTTCCTATTTTAATATTCTGCTGAATCTTAAGTTAATAATTCAATAAGCACATGGCGAGTATTATGACAATAAAATATCTGTAGAAATTCCCCTATCATGTTAAATATTTGAGCACAACAACTTTAACAAAATATTGCAATAACAATCATTAATATAAAAAGTATGCAGGTACAAATGAAAAATTTTTAAATTGATAACTTTTCCATTTTCTTTGAAACATCTGTTAAACACTTCTAACTTCCCTTCTTTCTTTCTTTCATTTGCTTCCTCACTGAAACCAAGTAGTGTCTGTGATATATTTCATTTTTCTATGCAATCAAAATGGAATAGTCTATTATTTATTGGCAGGAAACATTAGACATTTCTATCTTCCTTTCTTTTTTGCTAAATTCCTGTCTTATGAACATTTCTCTTAATAATTTAAAAATAATTCAGCAGACGATGTTATTTTAATTATGGTAACTGCATTTTTTGCAACTGCCTTACTTGGCTTCTGTTGTTTGATTCTGTACATCTGAAAAAATGATGCTTTTATTATTTTCATTGTTTCTCTACTTTTCAGGGGTCAGGGAGGGTATAAAATTTGTACCTCCCTTTTAGGAGGGGGTTGGGTTTATTGCCCGATGGCTGAGGCATCCCTAAAAGGGGAAGTTCTGATGGAGCTTGGCAATTTTTTTCCACAGTAGTGTTGATAAACCCACTCAAAACTATGACCTTGTTTCACATTTGGTAGTAACATGGGCACACTGAAAAATACAATCGGTTAAGATCAAAATGTAGTATGTTCTCATCAGCTTACTCCCTCTCTCTCTCTCTCTCTCCACTTTTATCTTCCTTTTCTTTTTTTCTGAAACCAAGTTGTCTTTTTTCCACTCTTTCCATCCAATCAAAATGGAATAGTCCATTATTTATGAAATATTGGTAGGGTGTAATGATCGTGCAAACTAATGAAAATAGGGACAATAATAGGATATTTAGAATCCCTATAATTAATACCAAATTTTTAATTTTAATTTTTATAATACTAGGTTTTATGTTGGGTCTTACTAGGTTAAATCAAAGAATTCACTTCTATTTTCTTAATGTAATAAATTTATCTCATCTTTTTCTTCAGTTCATGAAAGCACCAAGAATGAGAGAAATAATGAGGTAAGTTTTATGATAATTCCAGGTTCAGTTCTCTTTCTCTCTCCATAACTAAAATAATTGCTCCTTTCAATGTCTTGAATGTTTTTCCATCATGTGCACTTTGAGGTTTTAACATCTACAGTTGACTTTTGAATAAACCCAACTTTAACCAAGTCTATTTTAATTCAGCACCTATGAGTCAGCAGCTTTCCAAAAATCTTTTCTCACTTTGTTGCATTTTTTGAAAGAATACAACTCAATACATTTAGCTGGGATTATTGTTTTCAGCTGTTGCTTTGACAAACTTTCTTTCAGCTTGACACGTTGCAAGAAAAATAAAATCTGGATTTGGAGGCTAATGAATATTGTAAAGAAAAACAGTATGCACCACTTCAGAACAGCTTCTACACTTTGATCTATTTGCACTTTTTGCAGTGACTTAAAATTTCTTCTTAAATTGTCTGCGCTTCTCACAATTTCATACTGATGCATTGAACTTTCTTCAACATATAAGACTTACACCTTTGTGCAAATTCATTGAAACAAAACAAATAATTCTGTTTCATTTACTTTTTTTTTTTGTATTTTACCATGACCTGGTGCACATGTTAGTACTTTGTATGTCCATTCGACAAAGTCGATCTTTGTAGAATGACCACAGATTTTGATTGGAATCACCAGTTTTTGTCATTGTCCTGTATGTATGTGTCTGGGCACCTGACATCAAACCAACCCTGTGTCATATCTTTTTACCATGAAGAAGTGGGTAAATACAAAGTTCCTTTACCTGGCCTTTAGGTTGGGATCAAAGCATAGTTACTATTCTCTTTGTCTTGAAACTTATGAAGGAATCTTGGTCCTGGGGATTCCAACTGCAGCACCATCCTTATTGCACAAAAGAGGGGGAGTTGATGGATAATGACACCCACATAACAATGGTTGGGAAGACAGTGTAGTTTTTGTTCTTGGCCTATATGTATGACACTCTCACATTAAAATAACCTTGTGTTACCACTGTGGGTAAATGGGGAGTTAGATAAATACCATATTAATGTTGCTCCTTTGATTGCTTCTGAGGTTTGTTATGTGATAAGTGTGTGTGCTGAAAAGTACATTACAGACAAAATATAGCATTTCATTGTTTAAATAAGATCTTCTCCTTAGTACTTTGACTGCATGAATTTAAGTGCAGTACCAGATTGGCAGCTAGGTCTCATCATTTTACAGTTGAAATAGCTAGATGTAACCATAAGTTCTATTCTAATAGCTTCTTTCCTTGAAATTCTCACTTATGGAACTCTCTTCCAGTTTCTTGCTTCCTTGCAACCTACAATCTTCAAAAATGTAAAGGCAACATCAGTTGCCATTTTCTGTCTTCCTGAAACCTTTTCTTTTTGTGCTCTTTTCTCCTCACTAAAGTCTTCTCATTCTCTTTCACTCTCATTAACCCTTGGTGTCTTTGTGGCATTATTACCTTGCTTGGGGTGAAATTTCTTTCAATCATTTCACCCCAAGCAAGGTGATAATGTCACTAGGAGGTAGGGGATTACAGGGAGTGGCAGAGAATGAGAAAATTTTAGTGAGTGAAAGAACAATAAAGCAACAGTATTAAGGAAGACAGAAGATGACAATTGATGTTGTGTTTAAATTTCTGAAAATTGTAGGTGACAGGTAAGCAAGAAATCTGAAGGGAGTTCTACAGGTGAGAAGTGTGAGAAAAGAAACTATTAAAATAGAACTGACAGTTGCATCTAGACAGTTCAACAGTAAAATGGTGGGACGTAGTTGCCAATCAAGTAGCATGCTGGAATTTGTGCAGTCGAAGTACTAAGGACAGTTCAGGAGAACAATTGCCATGAAAATATTCCTAGAAAAGACAGGGAAGTCACATTACATGATTTTTTTTTTTTTTTTTTAAAAAGTATTAATACTGAAAATAGCAAAATAGTCCTAAAATTTTTTTTTTTTATCATTTCATCCCAAGCAAGGTGGGAATGCCACTAATACACAAGGGGTTACAGAAAGTGAGAGAAAAGACTGGGTATAGGAGGAATTGAGGAAAGGATAAAAGATGAACAGGATTCAAGAAGAATGTTGCATTTAAATTTTTGAGGATTGCAGTTATCAGAGAAGCAAGTAAACAGAAAGGAGTTCCACAGGTGGGAAGTATGAGAAAAACTGTTGGAGTAGAAGTGGTGGTTGCATTTAACTATTTCACCAGTAAAAGAGTGGGACCTAGATGCCAATCTAGTAGCATGCTTAAATTCACATAGTTGGAACACCAGGGAAAAAAAGCTCATCAGAGTAGTTGCCATGAAAATATTTGTAGAAAAGGCAGAGGGAAGCCATGTCACGCCAGTGAGAAAGTGACTGAAGTTGAGATGCCAAGTCAGGATTGATTACATTCCAAATCATTCTTTGGATTTTGTCTTGAGATGAATAGCAGGAGCCCCAGACCAAAGATGGCAACAGTATTCAATGCATGGATGAATGGTAGATTTGTAAATATGCAAGATGGACTGTTTGGTTATTGGTTTCAAGTTTATTGACAGGTGTGCAGCTTGTTACATATTGCTTCTGACTAAATTGTGCATCTATAAATTGTAAAACTTGGAACAAAGAGAGACTGTGATTTTAGAAGTATCATTGTATATAATGATTACAACAATATCATACTTGACACCCTATATTGAATATTTGCTATATGCAGTTCAACATCTCAAACCTGTCCACTGTTCTGTGCTGCAAAGTAGAAATTGTATCTATCTACCACATGATCATTTACATGCAATATTTGAAAAGTAAGACTTTTTATTTACCATATTTCTTTGTCTATAGTACCACACCCTGTTACTGAAGCTAACAAGGTATAAATTACTTCCTTGCGATAATACAGCCCTGTAGTACAGCCATCTCTTTAAATTTTTTTCTTGAAAAGTGTATCATATTAAAATCTCAATGCCAAACATATTTCACTAAAATATTCAATTTTTCATGATATTAAAGAATAGAAACAAAAAGGATGTTTAGCCATCATTTGTTTCTTCTAGTTTGTTTCAAAATTTATTTTCAAATATGCTAACGAGACATAACCAGTGTACATTTTATGGTGTTAATTAATCTATCATACTTTTCAGTTTGATATGACTTTATTATATTTCTATAGCTGCGGCCTGTTCCAGCTAAACAGTCTCGAAGGGCAGTCTCGTTCAGGGAGGTAGACTGCCTTTGAACCGGGTTCAAAAAGGGAATATTTTTGGCCAAGCCTATGGACTCGGAGAACCCACATTAAACTGGCCTTATGCCACATGCAACCCTTGTGGTGGGGGTAGCTAAATATACTATTATATTTCTATATATTAATAAACTATGAAATTAAAAATAATATATTGTCTTTTATTCAGATTGAAGTGAGAAAACTTGATAAAAGAACACAAAAATCAAAATATAACAAACTTGATCATACACTATTTACATCATTCAGTCTGTTGTCATCATCTCCATTGCCATATTCACAATGTTTTGGCTGTTGTATGCACTGGCCTTCTTCAGGTGATATACGTTGGAATTTAGGTGTGTACAATGGCTGAAATGTTGTGAATATGGCAATAAAGATGAGGACAACAGTTTGAAAGATGTAAATCATTAAAATACCTCATTTCAGAAATATAGACAAACTTTATTTTGAGAGCAAAATAGAGAAAAAAGATGTTTAATTATGTTTGTTTCCAAAGAACAAATATTGCTCCCTGCCAGACGTATCAAATACCTTTTGCAAACGATTATCAACACCTACCTAATTTGTGTCTTATCTATTGTGCTGAGTGTATTTGCAATCTTGTTGTTTCAAATAAGAGACTTTTTAAGCTGAGTAAAAACTGCTGAAAATGTATACTTGTGAATAATACAACCCCCTTTTTTTACCTTTAATTTTCATTTGAAATAAGCACAAGATGTTAAGTTAAAAAGGGATATCTGCAAACTAATGTTCAGATAAATATAAATTGATCAGAATGAAAACATTGTGAAAGCTGTAAATAAAAAGCAACAGGCTGTATTTTGTGTAAGAAACAGAACATCATTAATATTGAGCACATGTGATGTCACAACCAAGATGACCACAACCACAAAACAGTAAACAAAATGTAATGTATAACAAGAGTATATTGAGGTTCGGAGAAACTCTTAACTAATTACTCTCCCAGCAACTATGAGGGTAATAGAGAGGGGAAGCGATGGGAGGTAACAAAAATAACACTGCCTTGGAAACTACAGCAGCTTTAGGAACAAAATGTACACAAGACTGACTTCACAAAACACCATGTCCTGCCAACTGTGGGTTTTCTCATTGCTTTTATTGGTGTGAGGCATCTTACAAAAACCCAGATCTTGACCAATTGCAGAGAGGCCCGTATCTAGACATGCCAAGCTGTCCTGCTGCTAACAGGAAAATATGGATATAACTGGTGTTGACAGACATGTCCACATGTGATCCAGGGCCTCTTTTGTGTCTGTACCAACGTGTGCTTGCTATACAAACTTAGATGCAAAATATAGTAGGATTTTGCCTGCCAAATTTCAACATTGAGTTTTGAAGTGATTGTCTGAAAACACTGGTTCCAACACATGAGTATTCCTTTTCAGCTTTTGAAATGGCATAGGGATGTTTATGAGCACTTTCTGGAGTACATGATCCTGAGTGATGTTGCCTAGGTGTATCCCATTACTACAGAGATAAAAGTTGATTCCATGACCTCAAAGCAGCCAGTCATCTCACATATAATCAACTGACAAGAGTCTGTAGTGATATGGCTGGAATGTTTTAGTACATTTGCAAAGAGTTACTTAGAGTGAAAGAGTTGAGAGAGAACAATAAAAGAACAGGAATTAAGACAAAAGATGAGGATTGATTGACATGGCATTTAAATTTTTGAAGATCAAATTTGATTGGAAAACAAGATGCTGGAAGAGAGTTCCGCTAATTAGAAGTGCAAAGGAAGAAGCTATTAGCATAGAACTTGTGGTTGCATCTAACTATTTCAGTAGTAAAATGATGAAACCTAACTGCCAATCTAGTACTGTGCTTGCATTTGTAAAGTCAGGAAAGGTCATCAGAACAATTACCATGAGAATATTTATAGAAAAGGCACAGGGAAACTACATTGCAATGGTGGGAAAGTGACTGTAGCCAAGATGCCTGATCAGAACTGATAACATTATAGATTCTTCTTTGGATTTTACATCTATCTAAAGAGCAGTTTTACAAAGATGGTGCTGTTGCTGCAGAAGTGCAAGTGGGACTCCAGTTATTTGATATGTCCTTTAAGGTGCACGTTTAGGTTTTACCATACTGATGAGAAACATATGCCAATCTTGATGGCATCTACATGGAAAAGTATCATAATAGTGCTGGCAGTATGTGTACAATGTTTTATTTGAAAAGAAATAAACAAGCTGGTTTGCTGAACGTTTGTACTCTAAATTTTTTTTTTTTTTTTGCATGTATCAAATATCCAAGATGGTTGGGTGTTAAGTATAACAATGTTGCAATCATTGTATAGAATATTTCTAAAATCTCACAGTTTCTATTAGCTTCCAGTATTACAATGTATATTTTTATTTCTTTTGGAAATACAAATTTGCCAATACTTTGAACTTGTTTTTGTTATCTTATTTACAACCTTTGGAATTTTGATCCAGACTATTACTTCTAGTTAGTTGGATAGCGTGGGATCTAATGTCTTAACTGACATTGCGGATTAAGTGGGATCTGTGCTTTTAAATGAGATTGGATCAGTTGGGATTTGGCATTTTAACCAACATAGTGGATCAGGTGGGAATTGATATTTTAACTTACATAGTGGATTAGGTGGGATCTGATGTTTTTAATTGATATAGAAGATTGGTTGTCATCCAAAGTTTAAATCAGTATAGTAGATTGGGTGACATCCGACATTGTAAAAAGCGGTGTCCAAGTGGCATTATAACTGATATAGTGGATCATCTGAGATCTGGCATTTCAACTGGCGTGGCGGATCATCTGAGATCTGGCATTTCAACTGGCATGGCGGATCATCTGAGATCTGGCATTTCAACTGGCGTGGCGGATCATCTGAGATCTGGCATTTTAACCAATGTAGTGAATTATTGGAAATCTGGCATTTCAATTGGAATAGCGGATCATCTGAGATCCGGCATTTCAATTGGAATAGCGGATCATCTGAGATCCGGCATTTCAGCTGGCATAGCGAATCATCTGAGATCCGGCATTTCAGCTGGCATAGCGAATCATCTGAGATCCGGCATTTCAACTGGAATAGCGGATCATCTGAGATCCGGCATTTCAACTGGAATAGCGGATCATCTGGGGTCTGGTATTTTAACTGACATATCAGATCAAGTGGTTTTTGGTTTTTTAACTGACATTGTAAAGAACTTATTTATTTTGTGAGTATATCAAGAGCTATCACTTTATTATTCTCTGACTAAAGATTTAAATATATTACTTGGCAGAAACATTTTCTTTTCATTCATTTTTTAAAAGATGAACATTTTTATTTATTTATTTTTTTTTTTTTTTCATTTTCATCCTGTTCCCCTTCCTTTTTCTTCCTGTGTATTTTTAGGCCATCCTTGAAGGCTGCTTGCGACATTCATTAAGAATAGGTGTGGCTGTGTTAAAAAGCAGCTCTGAAACATTCTGTTCATCTTTATGCAATTTGATGTTGCTCATACTGATTGGCCATTCAGTATGAGTAATAAATCTAGTCACTTTCTCGTTTGCATTTTGTACAAAGAACTTAAGCTGTCATCTCCCCAGAAAGAGCAACACCCAGACATGGAATTTTCACATTTCACTAAAAGGAATTTTCCTTCTTATAGGAACGTTATTTACTTAGCATTTTCTTAGTTTATTCTCATTTCAAACATTTTTCACAGAATTTCTCGAATAAATGCTTTACTGTATTAAATCTGTCCTGCATTTCAAGCGCAATGTTTTTACGATTTCTTGACTTTCTGTTCATCAAGGAAAAGACACCTGTGCCACAGACACCCAGTGAGGTATTGTTGTTCTCTTATTTTTTTTTTTTTGTTCAATGGCGTTTGTTAGCTGCATGGATTGGTTGTTGGTGTGTGCCTCTTTACAGCTAATTCTCATTTTGCCTCGTGATTGGATTACAATCTTTGCTTGCTGAGTGTTCGTCATTTTCTGCTTCTTTTCTTTCCCCTCTTTTAAATACAACTTAATTCTTTTCTTTTTTTTTTTTTTTATATATATATTATTAAATAATGAATAATGAGGACATTTTTATAAGTTGGACATGTCTTGTTATTTATTTAGCATCATCAGAGATGTTTGGAATGATTTGGAATTATATTCAAGTTTTTAAATTCTGTCTTTTGTTTTTATAGATAGTGTGGATATCAGATGGATATCTCATCTGTCTGTTTAGTCTGTGAAATGTTTGCTTTTTATTTAAGTGTAGTAAAAATTTGGAATAATATGACAAATGCTGCAAGTGAAATATGTAATGCTCTGTTAATGTATGAATCTTGCATTCTTTCAGACCAGATGTCCACAGAACCAATGAAAACAAAATGATTTAAAAATTGATACTGACATACACATTAACGCCAATATGCATGTGATGTTTATGCAACCAATGAAAGCAAAACAACATAACATTTAAAAACTAGGGACATCCCACTAAATTTTTGATACCTAAAGTTTAAAATGAATTTTTTCAAATGAAAAAGCATTCTTGAAGCTTTCATTTTAGATTTAATTGAAAGCTAAATGATTAAATTTACTATTTCCAGTAAGCATAGTTTATTTCAAATAGAAATTATATTTCACAACTTTTTGGTTGCTTTCTGAAAATCGATAAAAATTGGCCACTTTTGGCACATTTGTAAACAAAAGTTAATTCTTGGTTTTAAAATCTTCCAAAAATAAAATATATTTTTCCAAAAATTTATTTGAGAAATATTAGCTGATTTAAAGTATAATCTGATTTGAAAAAAAATATTATCTACTTTAAGTTTTAAAATAACAGAGAAATGGATTTTTAAAATGGTAGTGGTGATTGTGCTTATCAATATTGCTTATCACTTGTAGATCACTTTTACTGTTGTTCTACAGAGACTTTTTATCTGTTAAAGCATAATTTAGAAAATGGTGTGAATGCCTTTTTTATATCATTTTTAAGTACTTATTAATCTTAAAATGTTAGAAAATATTCTCTGTAGTCTAATTCTAGAAATGTTGAATTTAAATTTACTACAGTCATTGCTTATTTTCTGATTTTGTCATGTATGGTTGACCATATTTTCAAATGGATAAGTTACATGATATTTTATATATTGTAAAAAAAAATAATTAAAGTTTTTAAAAAATATATGGTGTAAACAACTTTTATTGAGACTTTCTATTTTTAATTCATAAATATAGTTTTCACTTAATAACAATATCACCTAGCCGGATTGAAGTAATGCAGAATTTTAAATGATTTATATTATAAATTGTTACAATTAAAATTTAAAAAAATTAAAACAATTCTTGTAAAAATTCATTATTTATTGAAATTTTTTTTATATAGACAATAATGTCCTTAATAAATCTTATTTATAAAAGCAGTTAAAACCTTTTCTAATTAAATAATGTTATAGTTCTATTGCATTTTTTTTATGATTCCATACAAATTTTTGATAACTGTTGGTCCTGTTTTACAAAAACAAACTGATAATTTATATTCTCCAAGGAGTCCTGCTTTTAAGTAATAAAACAAATTTTGAGATTGCAGTTTTATTTCTCAAAATTTTATGAAATTAAATAAATCATTTTTTTTTTTTTTTTTTTTTTACCAAGACTTTCTAAAATTTGAAAAAATTGATTTCATTTATTTGTGAATAAGTCCTGAAAATTTCATTAAAATCCAACAAATATTTCATTTTTGCAAGAATTTCCAAATGAATGTGTTATCAATTTATCTGCTAAAATAAAAAAAGGTAGGTGCAAAAACACTAATCATAAATATTATGCTGACCTCTGACATAAAAAAAGATTTTTAACCAAAATTTTGAACGTGCTAGAAAGGATTAAAAAATTTAATAAAAGTAATAAAAATATTTTTGTCTTTCCTCTTAATAATAACATAAACATTTTGATAAAACTTTGTTCTTATTAAGTTTGGGGCCTTTTTTCATCATGCTATCCTGTTTCTCCAGCAAACAAGTGCAGGTGCCTATTAAAAACTAATACAAGTCTGAAACATTCCACTTCCAAAATTTCTGATGAGACTGAATAGAAAAACATGTTAAATTTATAAAGATTTCTTGCTCATTCCTTATTTAATCATTTCATCAAATTTATTCCATATTTGCAACCTGTATATACAGTAGTTTCTTGTACAAAAGGGAATGCGCATTTTCTTTATTTAGGCTCTTAAATGTGCTGAAAAGTATACAGAATTCACACCGTTTAAAAAAAAAAAAATACAAGGATTATTCAAACATTGGTATCTACTAATTAACATTTAGAATAGTAGGAGAAATGTAGTGGGGGGAGAACAAATATTCTTACACATACAAATTTTTAATTTATAGTACTTCCAACTAATGAATAAACATATTTTCATATAATTAACTGTATACAGATGCATAATAACTAAATATGCATAGAAAACAGAATAAATTTTGATTTAATAGAAATAAATCTCATTTATCCATTTTAATGGGTGAAAAAATTATTCATACAATATAACATAGAAACCATAATCTTCATTTTAATACTTTGTAGAACAGCCATTGTTCACTTCTTCTATGTCAACCAACCTCTTGTAGTTCTCAATGATTTGCAAATTTTAGTTGGTATTATGTTCCATTCTTCTTCATATATGGTCTTCAGATCTGGGATGTTTGTTGGCGCTCTCGATTTGATTTGAATTTTCAAATAACACCACAGATTCTCGATTGGGTTTAAATCTGCAGACTGACTTTGCCGTTTCAGGATATTTACATTATTTTCAGTGAGCCATTCTTCATAGATTTTGCCATGTGCTTAGGATCATTATCTTGGAAGATCCACTCAGGAGGAAGTTCAAGATTTTCAACCGAAATCATTAAATTTGTGTCCAAAATATTTTGATATACTGCGGCATTCATTCTACCATCTATTACTGATACGTTGCCAGTACCTTTTGCAGAAAAACGTTCCCCAATCATGATGCTGCCAGCATCAAATTTCACTGTGGGAACTGTATTCTTTTGTTTGAAGGCATCACCATCTTTCCTACATAGATGATTTTTAGAATTATGTTCAAACAACTCTTTGGTTTTGTCTATCCATAATACTCTTTCTCAATTTGAGTTTTCCTTATCCTTATATTCATGAATGAATTTCAACCTTGCATCATTGTGTTTTTTCAATAGCAGTGGAGTTTATTGAGAGCCATGTGACTTTAGATTGTTCCTATGAATTTCATTGATTATTGTCCGTTTAATGACACAGATTCCTGATGAAAGCAAATCATCCTGCAACTCTTGATTAGTAACCATTTGATTTTGTTTAATTTGATGCATTAATTTCCTCAAATCTTGAAGAAATCCTCCATGGAGCATCTGTCCTTTGGTTTTCAACAGTTTTTTTTATACCTTGCAATGAAGGAATTAATGGTAGTAAATGGAATATTCTGGTTGTCTGAGATTTTCCTGTAACTTTTACCTTCTTTCCAGGGCTTAACAATTGGTTCTTTTTGCAAATTTGTCATTTTTTTGCCTCTTGCCATGATGATAACCTTACATGAATATCAATTAAAGAATGTTCTGTTTGCATTTTTAAGGCTAAAAATAACTGGTGACATTATTGGAACATTCTAGAATATTCTACTTGAATAATCTAGAGTATTCAATTTAAGTTTTAAAATCTGAAATTTACATTGTACGAATACTTTTTCACCCATTAAAATGGATAAATGGGACTTATTTCTATTAAATAATTTTTTTTTTCTGTTTTCTATGTGTATTTAGTTATTATGCATCTGTCTGTGTACAGTCAATTATATGAAAAGTATATTTATTCATTAGTTGAAAATACAATAAATAAAAAAAAATTTGTATGTGTACAACTGTTTCCTCTCAGTGTATATATAATACATACACACACACACACACATATATATATATATATATATATATATATATATATATATATATATACACACACACATACACCTAATGGCCTGAAGATTATGTTCATATGCATGAAACAGACTGTCACTGATGGGTGTTGACTTCAATGTCCACTTTTATATTTATATATGCTCTATCTTATATTGAGCACTTTCACATGTAAATATAGCATACTTAAAAACTATATTTTATGTGTACCTTACATTTTGTATTTTTGGGTTTTTTTTTGTTTTTTTTTTGTAACTCTGACCCACCCCCAATTATACAGGTAAAATAGCATCTGAGAAAATTACAAAAGAAGTTATCCTTTAGAACTGCCGTTCTTGTCTTTTGTTTCACTTTCATGATTGAATATGATGAACGACAATTCATTTTCATTTCTTATCTTTAGTCAGTTGAAGATCATTTTTTCGTTAAATAATTTTGAAAGAACAAAAATGATAATCAAATAATTTCATCCCAAATTTTTCAATAAATAATTATTTAATTACATGATGTTTTTAATTTTATGCTTAAGGCATGTATGAATTTTAAGAATAAGTGTAAGATTTTGTCAAACTTAGCAACTTAAAAATTATGATCATAAAATTTGTAATTTTATTCAATTTAAATTCAATAAAAATATCTGCAGATAAATTTTATTTTTTATTTTAGATAATTTGCACAAAAAATTCCACTAAATGAATAAATATTAATTATTAATTTCTATTCTCAACACTGTAACAGAATAAAACTAGTAAATATTATAGAATTCTATTTAAGAGCACTAAGAATATGCAGCCCTCAGTATATACCTGAAGAAGAAATATATATAGAAAACACCTTTAAAACCTCCAATATCCAAATTATTTTATCCACAATGCTAAAAGAAAAGCATACAAAACTACAAAAAAGATAGACATTAAGAACATCAATGGCAAACAAGATAAAAACAGACATATAATACTACCTACTAATTCTTT